AAATACGTGCAAGTTGGCTCAGACACCAATCACAAAAACATAAGATAAAAAAGCCCTACGAACTTTTTCAAGTTTCAAACATCTTCGTTTGATATGTCATTATGAATCAGAACGGAGAAATATGTATAGACCATACGAGTATACGACATCGTAATAAATCAGATAATATGAAACTGAATTAGACTCGGTGCTGGGCGGGCCGAACCGGCCCATTGAAATTCTAGTAGCTTCTTAAGAGTCACAGAAGAATGCCCACAACAAAACGAACTTGCCTCCAAAAAACTTGCTCTACCGACAGCACGTCCAATATAATTATCAAAGGTGAAAATTGGCAACCAAAAAACTGGAAAAAGATCAAATTGTAAGTTTCTCATTTAAATTGGTTATTGTTCAGTTGCATATAATTATTTGGCGTTGTTTGTTAGATTTTTATTTTATTTTCTTGAAAGAATTTGTGTCAAAAGTTTTTATGAAAAGCAAAGCAGTTGCAACTGAGATTTAAGAGTTTAAATATTTATTAGAGTTCAAACAGAAGACGAGGTTTTCTGGGTTTGATGTGAATTGTTTTGTAATGTATTGCGTTTGGGACATTTTATTGAATATTTGGTATGCAGTTTCAGAACATGATAATGTTTTATTTTCTGGGTTATTTTATCATCAAAAGAGAGAATTAGTTTCCATGTAGATATGGGATACAATGAAGAGGCTTTAAAAAAAAATTGAACAAAGTTTATGGTGCTTTGTTTCATGGCATGCTTATGCTGCATATGATCATATTGAACAAGTTAGGGTTTTTACTTGTGTTGTTGAGTAATTAACATATTATGATTTGGTTGGACTATGGCGGAGCGATTATTCTCCATATCGTGTGACTATAGTTTTTGATTGATAGATGTGTGAAATAAGAGTCAATTATGTGATTCGCTGGTAAGGTCTCCAGTGGTTGTAAAAGAGGTCTTAGGATCTTAATACTTATCATCTTTGGTTGAGGGAGATTTAATTTGAATTTTGGGAGAAGGGAGCCAAAAGGATATTAAAAAAATGAGGATAAACAAAGTAAATGAAGCAAGAGTATTCTGATAACGTTGTAATTTATTTAAATCTAAACTTGGTTTGGTGTTCATCTTACAAGATATAAGGGAGTAAGATTTTTTGCCTGATTTTTTATGTTGAAGTAACTAAGTGATTTTGTTGTTCTTTGATGTTGCTATGCTGTTGTTAGTATGATTTGATTATTATTTTGAACCCATAAAAAGTGTTTTTTTTTTTTTAATTGGTCATTAATTTTCTGTTAGTAAAATGTAGATATCAGGTATGGAAGCACAAAAAAGTCAGTCCGAAAAACAGCAATCACCTGTTGCCCCAAACCCTGCCATGGATTCATGCGAAAGAAGAAGAGTGAAAGTGCCACTTTCTGGAGGATGTTAGGATCACATTGATGAGTTCATCCATGCGTCAATGGATGAACACAAAACTTGTTTTAAGAAGACCATCCAAAGGTTCTTTTCCAGTCAGCTTCCAAGCTTATGCGTCGCCTGACATAGAAAATTACTTCTTTTATACTAATTTATGCGTATGCTTTTCTCACCTGATGGTATGGTATGGTTTGATTTTCAGATGTTTGGAATGTCGAAAATTGTTGCAGAGAGGATGCTGACACAATGGAGTTGAAAGCTCTCTGCCACTTCAAACAACAGTTTCCGACTAGAGCATTCTCACTCTTGCTATCTTGCAACATCTTCATATCTTACTTTTGGAGACAAAAAAGAACTGTATTTGGGGAAGATGTTCAAATTTTATATTAACATGTTATTCTCTTTATCTGTGATTACAGTTTTTGTTTCTCCGAATGAGCAAGTTTGAACAATAGATTGACCTTTGTGTTGTGGATATAGAGGATGAAGAGCCCATTTGTGATATAGTTAAGTTTCATTTGAGTTAGCCCTTGTTTGTGAGCAGTTTGTTTTGTTGTTAGGAAATAGGAAGACCATATGGAGCTTGCTTGTAAACTATTAAGATACAGAAGAGGGGTGGATCTAAAATTTATACAAAGCATATCTAGCAAATGTCAAAGGTATGAGATTAATTTCATAATATCTTCTTTAAAATAAACTATCTCATCTTAAATCGATATATGTATTCATGGGATGAATACAAACATTACTATTACCAGACTTAAGCGAGGTAATTTCAGAAAAATAGAAGAATTTCTTCACCTTAATGATCAGAAAATCAAATCAAACCCACGATTTTACAGAAGTATCACAAACCCCCTCAAGCGCCCAACGCGAGTGGCAATAAATTTGCTTGTTGAAAGGAAGCAAGCAAGCAAAACAAAAGTGGCGTTATCTCTTAGAACTCTCCACCACAAATGGCTTCTTCTCTCCAGAACTCTCCATCTGCACTGGTATGCCCATAATTTTTTCAGTATTAGCTTTTAAATTATTTATTTTTTTTCGTAATTTTGCTTTCTTTTGGGCAGTATCATAGCTTGAAGAACCGTCGTCATCGTCTTCACTGCTTAAACGCACCGTATAGTGATAGAAGTACAAGTGTTGGACTTCAGAATCGTAATTATCGAAACAGAAATGGGGTCGTAGCTTGTTTCTTGAGTCCACTGGAAGAACCCATTCTCAAAGAAGCTCTTAAGGTATACTGTTACTATTTTTAATCTCTGAATTTCAGTCTTGGCTGTGTTATCTATCAATAATAATGCAGACCCATATGCCTTGTAAGTTAAGAGGCTTCGATATTGTCAGTTTTCCATCTTTTGTTGCGTGGCTTTAGAATTTCCAATCCCTTTGTTTATGGAAATGTTAATTCCTTGCTGGGTAAAAGCTGGTACCGTTGCTGGGATGAATGGGATTTGTTCCTTTACCATTTTATTGGAGATGTGCAACTTTAAAGATACGCTCTTAATTGGCTTCCGATTAACCAATACTCCCATGTGGCATCCCTTGGATGGAGCCATGGTCAACTCTTATGCCTTGTTCCAGCGGTGTGGCAGTTCATCCTACGGCATATTTATTTGAAAGATGCCAAAGCCAATTTCATTTCTGTTGGGATTAGATCCTCTCTAGGGTTTCTTTAGACACCATTAACATGAAACTTGGATGTGTTTTTTTTTTTTCATTGAGTTTATCCATGTATCCTATGGCATATATTTTCACTCAAGATTCTCTAGATTAGCTGGTGAACAGGAGGAATCTCTTAGATCTCTTAAGTAATAGAAACGTGAACAACTCTCGTTGAATTAGATGTTTTATTAGTTGTATGTATAAGCTATAATACTCATAGAGAGCATGTATGATTATTCTCCTTTTTTGATCGAGTATTCTAGTTTTACGCTAAGAAATATAGAAAACAGTGTATCTCATAGGTCCAGTTGGCTACAGTATTATATCTTCACATCTACATGGTGGGTTGTATTAAGTTATATACAAGGTTAAGTATTCAAATGCCTTCGTATTGTAGAATCCAAATTAGTGTTTGCTAAATGTTTCTTACCTGAGGTGGATGGATCCTGCTCCCCAATTTCTTATGCAAGGGTACCTGCAAAATATTCTGATGCCTGGTTTTGTTATAATATTTTAGCAGAGTTTTGATATTAGCTTCAGTTTTTATTTTCTTGTGGATTCTACTTGCTAATTAGCTTGACATTAGAGATTGTCTCTGTTTTCATGTGCTGAATTAGCATGAATTTTGGGCCAATCAGACTTCTGTGCTGGACTGATCCTACATGCTAATTAGTCCTTTCGGTTCAGTCTCGTGTCATGTCACCTTCTTTTGGTCACAGTAATTCCACTAGTTGCGAGGCTTCATGGATCAGCATTTTGTTTCCCTACAAGTATGGGATTTATTAATTTATTTTCTTAAAAAAATTCATTTCCTCTATTTCCTCAAGATTATGGAGTATCAACATGTTATTGTGTAAAGGAGTAAGTCTTTTGCCTGCTTTCCTTTGGTGCCAAGTCTACAGGACCAACAATCATCTTCTAGGACTTATCCGTTGCTTGGTACAGAGACATTCATCGATTTCTTTTAATTTTTGCTGGGCTCTGGCTAATGTTCTCATAAATCAAGCCAATTCTTTTCCTGATCGCCATATTGAAAAATGCATTCCACTTGCCCGCAAGTATTGAAAATGATACTTCTTTTGGCATCAATTTATGTCACCTATTCCTAATTTATTAAAACCCTATAGTTTTATGCTCTGTTTCAGTAGGAATATCAAAAAATATTATTTCAAGTGCCCCAAAACTTTATTTTCTTTCTTCACTTTGCTACCAATAAGCATCCGTTTGTGTGCTTCTAGCACTGGCTTCGGTTTTGCCAAAATATCAATGGCCTGAAGAAAAAAGATAAAATGATTGTTCTTCAATGGCCGAAGAAAAAAGATAAAATGATGTATTCTAATAACATAGCTATCTGTTTCAGGAGCCGATTGCATTCGCAGGTGGGATCTTTGCTGGTCTTTTGAGGCTTGATTTGAATGAAGATCCATTGAAAGAGTGGGTACAAGGACTGCTGAAGCCGCCGAATTACAGAGGAAGAAATCAATGCTCAAGGCTCAAAGACTGAAGAAGAAGTCCCAGAACAAATTGAGATTGAAGATGAAATTTGTTATCATAATAGTGTATAAATAATAAAATACGTGACCAGTCTAAATGATGGATAATTTCAAGTTCATATTAGACATTAGTGTTAATTGATGTTTTATTTGTTATCGAAATAACTGAAAATGATGGGAAATTAATCATATAGTAATAGCCCTAACAGAAAAAGCAAGCCATATCATGAATAATAATAATGTAAATATAAATAAAAACATACAAATTTCTTATTTCCATTTACGAAAATAAAAAACAAAAACAAAAACAAAATGCTAAATACAAAGCTGTACTGCATTCTCCTCCCCCCCTTCCCAAAAAAAAAAATTACTGTGCTCTATATGTTTTCCTTGAGAATTAGAAAGGCAAGTGAAGTTGTAATAGTACAGAAACCCCTGAGCGAGTAAAACCCTAAAAGAGAAGAAGACGAAGGAGATGGGAGATGAACTGGAAGAGACAGAGATGGAGAAGCTGGTGAAGTTGGGATCGTACGAAGGGAAAGTGAAGTTATTGATGGATGATGGTGGTGGTGGTGAGTCAATTTCAGAGTCAGAATCAGCTGCAGAAGAGACCATGTTACTGTGGGGAATTCAACAGCCAACTCTCTCTAAACCCAACGCGTTCGTCGCCCAATCGTCTCTGAACCTCCACATTGACGCTTGTGGCCACTCTCTCAACATTCTTCAGTCTCCTTCTTCCTTGGTAGGCCATCTCATTTCTTATTCCATTTTATTCGAGTATTAAATATTACCATTTTCACATTAGGTGATTCTTTTCTGTAAATACCCACCTGTGTTTTCGAGTGTTTTTATTGAATTTAAATACAATTATTTGTTCTCGAGAACAATTGATATAAGAAATTGGTTGAAATGTTTTGGAAAACAATTTTTCCAAATAATACTAAAAACAAGGATTAGGACTTTACTTTAGTAACGTACTACTCCTGAACTGATAGATATTACCATTTTCATATATTCTAAGTTTTGCTTGATAATGCTATGGGCTCAGGAGTCAGTACCATACTGCTTCCCTTTCAGCAGAAAACGTTGTAACACAGTTGTTCATAACATCACTAGTTTGGCATTGTAACTCATTTCCCTTTTGATACATTACTGATTCTTTTCAGTAGATACCCCCTTGTGTTTTTTTCGCTGTCTGGTTTAGATTTTGAATGCAATTCTTTGTTATTGGGAATAAAGGACATAAGAAATTCTATAAACCAAATTCGGTTGGAATATTATCAAAAACAGATTCCGATACAGTTCTAAAAAACGAAGTAAAATGAGAAAAAAGAAAAGAAAAGTCTTTTCCTCTGTAAATCTTAGTCTTTTAAATTATTTTTGCATCACAAACTAAACAAGCTTTTTATTGCTTGATTTTATTCTACCTGCAGGGCAAACCGGGAGTAACTGGATCAGTGATGTGGGACAGTGGAGTTGTATTAGGAAAGTTTCTAGAGCAAGCTGTGGACTCAGGATTGCTTTTTCTTAAAGGAAAGAAGATCGTGGAGTTGGGTTCTGGTTGTGGTTTAGTTGGGTAATCATTATCACTATCCCTCACCCTTAGTTTCTTGCTTATCACTTTAACTCTCTTGTTCTTACCTTCTGGTTTGTTAGCTGCATTGCAGCTCTTTTGGGTGCTCAAGTTATCCTCACAGATTTGCCGGATAGACTGAGACTACTGAAAAAGAACATTGAAACCAATCTGAATCATCGAGATTTGCAGGGCTCTGCCACAGTTAGGGAGCTAACATGGGGAGATGACCCTGACCAGGAATTGATTCAACCTTTACCTGATTATGGTAATGCCTCTCGTTATTTTTTCTTATTTTCAGAATCGTATTATCGAAACAGAAATGGGGTCGTAGCTTGTTTCTTGAGTCCACTGGAAGAACCCATTCTCAAGAAGCTCTTAAGGTACTACTGTTACTATTTTAATCTCTGAATTTCAGTCTTGGCTGTGTTATCTATCAATAATAATGCAGACCCATATGCCTTGTAAGTCTAGAGGCTTCGATATTGTCGTTTTCCATCTTTTTGTTGCGTGGCTTTAGAATTTCCAATCCCTTTGTTTATGGAAATGTATAATCTCCTTGCTGGGTAAAAGTCCTGGTACCGTTGCTGGGATGAATGGGATTTGTTCCTTTCCATTTTATTGGAGATGTGCAACTTTAAAGATACGCTCTTAATTGGCTTCCGATTAACCAATACTCCCATGTGGCATCCTTGGATGGAGCCATGGTCAACTCTTATGCCTTGTTCCAGCGGTTGGCAGTTCATCCTACGGCATATTTATTTGAAAGATGCCAAAGCCACTTTCATTTCTGTTGGGATTAGATCCTCTCTAGGGTTTCTTTTAGACACCATTAACATGAAACGGATGTGTTTTTTTTTTTTTCATTGAGTTTATCCATGTATCCTATGGCATATATTTTTCACTCAAGATTCTCATAGATTGCTGGTGAACAGGAGGAATCTCTTATCTCTAAGTAATAGAAACGTGAACAACTCTCGTGAATTAGATTTTTTTATTAGTTGTATGTATAAGCTATAACTACTCATAGAGCATGTATGATTTATTCTCTTTTTTTGATCGAGTATTCTAGTTTTTACGCTAAGAAATAGAAAACAGTGTATCTCATAGGTCCAGTTGGCTACAGTATTATATCTTCACATCTACATGGTGGGTTTGTATTAAGTTATAACAAGGTTATTATCAAATGCCTTCAGTATGTAAATCCAAATTAGTTTGTTTGCTAAATGTTTCTTACCTGAGTGGATGGATCCTGCTCCCCAATTTCTTTATGCAAGGGTACCTGCAAAATATTCTGATGCCTGGTTTTGTTATAATATTTTAGCAGAGTTTTGATATTAGCTTCAGTTTTTTATTTTCTTGTTGGTTTCTACTTGCTGAATTAGCTTGACATTAGAGATTGTCTCTGTTTTCATGTGCTGAATTAGCATGATATTTTGGGCCATCAGACTTCTGTGCTGGACTGATCCTACATGGCTAATTAGTCCTTTCGGTTCAGTCCGTGTCATGTCACCCTTCTTTTGGTCACAGTAATTCCACTAGTTGCGAGGCTTCATGGATCAGCCATTTTGTTTCCCTACAGTATTTTATTTATTAATTTATTTTCTTAAAAAAATTCATTCCTCTTATTTTCCATCAAGATTATGGAGTATCACATGTTATTTGTGTAAAGGAGTAAGTCTTTTGCCTGCTTCTTCCTTTGGTGCCAAGTCTACAGGACCAACAATCATCTTCTAGGACTTATCCGTTGCTTGGTACAGAGACATTCATCGATTTCTTTTAATTTTTGCTGGGCTCTGGCTAATGTTCTCATAAATCAAGCCAATTCTTTTCCTGATCGCCATATTGAAAATGCATTCCACTTCCCCAAGTATTAGAAATGATACTTCTTTTGGCATCAATTTATGTCACCTATTCCAATTTATTAAACCCCTATAGTTTTATGCTCTGTTTCAGTAGGAATATCAAAAAATATTATTTCAAGTGCCCCAAAACTTTTTTTCTTTCTTCACTTTGCTACCAATAAGCATCCGTTTTGCTGCTTCTAGCACTGGCTTCGGTTTTGCCAAAATACAATGCCTGAAGAAAAAATAAAATGATGTGTTCTATCAATGGCCTGGAAAAAGATAAATGATGTTATTCTAATACCATAGCTATCTGTTTCAGGAGCCGATTGCATTCGCAGGTGGGATCTTTGCTGGTCTTTTGAGGCTTGATTTGAATGAAGATCCATTGAAAGAGTGGGTTACAAGACTGCTGACCGCCGGAATTACAGAGGAAGAAATCAATGCTCAAGGCTCAAAGACTGAAGAAGAAGTCCCAGAACAAATTGAGATTGATGATGAAATTTTGTATCATAAAGTGTATAAATAATAAAATACGTGACCAGTCTAAATGATGGATATTTCAAGTTCATATTAGACATTGTGTTAATTGATGTTTTATTTGTTATCGAAATTAACTGAAAATGAATGGGAATTATATCATATAGTTATAGCCCTAACAGAAAAAGCAAGCAATATCATGGATAATTAATAATCATACGACATCGTAATAAATCAGATAATATGAAACTGAATTAGACTCGGTGCTGGGCTGGGCCGAACCGGCCCATTGAAATTCTAGTAGTTTCTTCAGAATCACAGAAAGAACGCCTACAACTAAACAAACTTGCCCTCCAAACAAACTTGCTCTACAAGACAGCACATCAACCATATAATTTAAAAAGGTGAAAATTGGCAACCAAAAAACTGGAAAAAGATCAAATTGTAAGTTTCTCATTTAAATTGTGTTATTGTTCAGTTGCATATAATTTATTTGGCGTTCGTTTGTTAGATTTTTATTTTATTTTTCTTGAAAGAATTTGTGTCAAAAGTTTTATGAAAAGCAAAGCAATTGCAACTGAGATTATAAGAGTTAAAATATTTATTAGAGTTCAAACAGATAGACGAGGTCTTCTGGGTTTGATGTGAATTTGTTTTGTAATGTATTGCGTTTCTGGGACATTTTATCGAATATTTGGTATGCAGTTTCATGAACATTGATAATTTTCAATTTTTCTGGGCTTAATTTATCATCAAAAGAGAGAATTAAGTTTCCATGTAGATATGGGATACAATGAAGAGGCTTTAAAAAAATAAAAAAATTGAACAAAATTTACTGGTGCTTATTGTTTCATGACATGCTTATGCTTGCATATGATCATATTTGAACAAGTTAGGGTTTTTACTTGTGTTGTTGAGTAATTAACATATTATGATTTGGTTGGACTATGGCGGAGCGATTATTCATCCATATCGTTGTTGACTATAGTTTTTGATTGATATACTGTTTGATGTGTGAAATAAGAGTTAATTATGTGATTCGCTGGTAAGGTCTCCAGTGGTTGTAAAAGAGGTCTTAGGATGTTATATCTTATTATCTTTGGTTGAGGGAGATTTAATTTGAATTTTGGGAGTAAGGGTAAGGGAGCCAAAAGGATATAAAAAAATGAGGATAAAACAAAGTAAATGAAGCAAGAGTATTTTGATAATCATTGTAATTTATTTAAATCTAAACTTGGTTTGGTGTTCATCTTACGAGATATAAGGGAGTAAGATTTTTCTGCCTGATTTTTTATGTTGAAGTAACTCAAGTGATTTTGTTGTTCTTTGATGTTGCTATGCTGTTGTTTAGTATGATTTGATTATTATTATTATTGAACCCGTAAAAAGTTTCTTTTTTAAATTTGTTCATTAATTTTCTGTTAGTAAAATTGTAGATATCAAGTATGGAAGCACAAAAAAGTCAGTCCGAAAAACAGCAATCACCTGTTGCTCCAAACCCTGCCATGGATTCATGTCGAAAGAAGAAGAGTGAAAGTGCCACTTTCTTGGAGGATGTTAAGGACCACATTGATGAGTTCATCCATGCGTCAATGGATGAACACAAAACTTGTTTTAAGAAGACCATCCAAAAGGTTCTTTTCCAGACTCATCTTCCAAGCTTATGCGTCGCCTCACCATAGAAAATTACTTCTTTATATATAATTTATGCTTATGCTTTTCTCACCTGTTTGTATGGTATGGTTTGATTTTCAGATGTTTGGAATGTCGAAAATTGTTGCAGAGAGGAATGCTGACACCAATGGAGTTGAAAGCTCTCTGCCGCTTCAAACAACAGTTTCAGACTAGAGCATTCTCACTCTTGCTACCTTGCAACATCTTCATATCTTACTTTTGTAGACAAAAAACTTGTATTTGGTGAAGATGTTCAAATTTTAGATTAACATGTTATTATCTTTATCTGTGATTACAGTTTTGTTTCTCCGAATGAGCAAGTTTGAACAATAAGATTGACCTTTGTGTTGTGTATATAGAGGATGAAGAGACCCCATTTGTGATATAGTTAATGTTGCATTTGAGTTATCCCTTGTTTGTGAGCAGTTTGTTTTGTTCGTTAGGAAATAGGAAGACCATATGGAGCTTGCTTGTAAACTATTAAGATACAGAAGAGGGGTGGATCTAAAATTTATACAAAGCATATCTAGCAAATGTCAAAGTTATGAGATTAATTTCATAATATCTTCTTTAAAATAAACTATCTCATCTTAAATCGATATATGTATTCATGGGATGTAATACAACATTACTATTACCAGACTTAAGCGAGGTAAATTTCAGAAAAAATAGAAGAATTTCTTCACCCCTTAATGATCAGAAAATCAACTCAAACCCACGATTTTACAGAAGTATCACAAACCCCCCTCAAGCGCCCAACGCGAGTGGCAATAAATTTGCTTGTTGAAAGGAAGCAAGCAAGCAAAACAAAAGTGGCGTTATCTCTCTAGAACTCTCCCACACAAATGGCTTCTTCTCTCCAGAACTCTCCATCTGCACTGGTATGCCCATAATTTTTTTCAGTATTAGCTTTTAAATTATTTATTTTTTTTCGTAATTTTGCTTTCTTTTTGGGCAGTATCATAGCTTGAAGAACCCGTCGTCATCGTCTTCACTGCTTAAACGCACCCGTATTAGTGATAGAAGTACAAGTGTTGGACTTCAGAATCGTAATTATCGAAACAGAAATGGGGTCGTAGCTTGTTTCTTGAGTCCACTGGAAGAACCCATTCTCAAAGAAGCTCTTAAGGTACTACTGCTACTATTTTTAATCTCTGAATTTCAATCTTGGCTGTGTTATCTATCAATAATAATGCAGACCCATATGCCTTGTAAGTCTAAGAGGCTTCGATATTGTCAGTTTTCCATCTTTTTGTTGCGTGGCTTTAGAATTTCCAATCCCTTTGTTTATGGAAATGTATAATCTCCTTGCTGGGTAAAACTCCTGGTAGTGTTGCTGGGATGAATGGGATTTGTTTCTTTACCATTTTATTGGAGATGTGCAACTTTAAAGATATGCTCTTAATGGGCTTCCGGTTAACCAATACTCCCATGTGGCATCCCTTGGATGGAGCCATGGTCAACTCTTATGCCTTGTTCCAACGGTTGGCAGTTCATCCTACGGCATATTTATTTGAAAGATGCCAAAGCCAACTTTCATTTCTGTTGGGATTAGATCCTCTCTAGGGTTTCTTTTAGACACCATTAACATGAAACTTGGATGTGTTTTTCTTTTCTTTTTTTATTGAGTTTATCCATGCATCCTATGGCATATATATTTCGCTCAAGATTCTCATAGACTAGCTGGTGAACAGGAGGAATCTCTTAGATCTCTTAAGTAATAGAAACGTGAACAACTCTCGTTGAATTAGATGTTTTATTAGTTGTATGTATAAGCTATAACTACTCATAGAGAGCATGTATGTCTCTCTTTTTTGATTGAGTACTCTAGCTTTTACGCTAAGAAATATAGAAAACTATCTCATAGGTCCAGTTGGCTACAGTATTATATCTTCACATCTACATGGTGGGTTTGTATTAAGTTATATACAATGTTAAGTATTCAATTGCCTTCAGTATTGTAGAATCTAAATTAGTTTGTTTGCTAAATGTTTCTTACCTGAGGTGGATGGATCCTGCTCCCCAATTTCTTTATGCAAGGGTACCTGCAAAATATTCTGATGCCTGGTTTTGTTATAATATTTTAGCAGAGTTTTGATATTAGCTTCACTTTTTTATTTTCTTGTTGGATTCTACTTGCTGAATTAGCTTGACATTAGAGATTGTCTCTGTTTTCATGTGCTGAATTAGCATGGCATTTTGGGCCAATCAGACTTCTATGCTGGATTGATCCCTCATGGCTAATTAGTCCTTTCGGTTCAGTCTCGTGTCATGTCACCTTCTTTTGGTCACAGTAATTCCACTAGTTGCGAGGCTCCATGGATCAGCCATTTTGTTTCCCTACAAGTATGTGATTTATTAATTTATTTTCTTAAAAAAATTCATTTCCTCATATTTTCCGTCAAGATTATGGAGTATCAACATGTTATTTGTGTAAAGGAGTAAGTCTTTTGCCTGCTTCTTCCTTTGGTGCCAAGTCTACAGGACCAACAATCATCTTCTAGGACTTATCCGTTGCTTGGTACAGAGACATTCATCGATTTCTTTTAATTTTTGCTGGGCTCTGGGTAATGTCCTCATAAATTAAGCCAATTCTTTTCCTGATGGCAATATTGAAAAATGCATTCCACTTGCCCATAAGTATTAGAAAATGATACTTCTTTTGGCATCAATTTATGTCACCTATTCCTAATTTATTAAACCCCTGTACTTTTATACTCCGTTTCAGTAGGAATATCGAAAAATATTATTTCAGTTGCCCCAAAACTTTGTTTTCTTCCTTCACTTTGCTACCAATAAGCATCCTTTTTGCTGCTTCTAGCACTGGCTTCGGTTTTGCCAAAATATCAATGACCTGAAGAAAAAAGATAAAATGATGTGTTCTATCAATGGCCTGAAGAAAAACGATAAAATGATGTTTTCTAATACCATAGCTATCTGTTTCAGGAGCCGATTGCATTCGCAGGTGGGATCTTTGCTGGTCTTTTGAGGCTTGATTTGAATGAAGATCCATTGAAGGAGTGGGTTACAAGAACTGCTGATGCCGCCGGAATTACAGAGGAAGAAATCAATGCTCAAGGCTCAAAGACTGAAGAAGAAGTCCCAGAACAAATTGAGATTGAATGATGAAATCTTGTATCATAATAGTGTATAAATAATAAAATATTTGACCAGTCTAAATGATGGATGATTTCAAGTTCATATTAGACATTAGTGTTAATTGATGTTTTATTTGTTATTGAAATTAACTGAAAATGAATGGGAAATTATATCATATAGTTAATAGCCCTAATACAAAAAGCAAGCAAATCATGGATAATTATTAAATAAATAAAAACATACAAATTTCTTATTTCCATTTACGAAAATAAAAAACAAAAACAAAAACAAAATGCTAAATACAAAGCTGTACTGCATTCTCCTCCCCCCCTTCCCAAAAAAAAAAATTACTGTGCTCTATATGTTTTCCTTGAGAATTAGAAAGGCAAGTGAAGTTGTAATAGTACAGAAACCCCTGAGCGAGTAAAACCCTAAAAGAGAAGAAGACGAAGGAGATGGGAGATGATCTGGAAGAGACAGAGATGGAGAAGCTGGTGAAGTTGGGATCGTACGAAGGGAAAGTGAAGTTGTTGATGGATGATGGTGGTGGTGGTGAGTCAATTTCAGAGTCAGAATCAGCTGCAGAAGAGACCATGTTACTGTGGGGAATTCAACAGCCAACTCTCTCTAAACCCAACGCGTTCGTCGCCCAATCGTCTCTGAACCTCCACATTGACGCTTGTGGCCATTCTCTCAACATTCTTCAGTCTCCTTCTTCCTTGGTAGGCTATCTCATTTCTTATTCAATTTTATTCGAGTATTCAATATTACCATGTTCACAACTTCACATTAGGTGATTCTTTTCTGTAAATACCCACTTGTGTTTTCGAGTGTTTTTATTGAATTTAAATACAATTCTTTGTTCTCGAGAACAATTGATATAAGAAATTGGTTGAAATGTTTTGGAAAACAATTTTTCCAAATAATACTAAAAACAAGGATTAGGACTTTACTTTAGTAACGTACTACTCCTGAACTGATAGATATTACCATTTTCATATATTCTAAGTTTGGCTTGATAATGCTATGGGCTCAGGAGTCAGTACCATACTGCTTCCCTTTCAGCAGAAAACGTTGTAACACAGTTGTTCATAACATCACCATTTTGGCATTGTAACTCATTTCCCTTTTGATACAGTAGTGATTCTTTTCAGTAGATACCCCCTTGTGTTTTTTTCGCTGTCTGGTTTAGATTTTGAATGCAATTCTTTGTTATTGGGAATAAGAAACATAAGAAATTTTATAAACCAAGTTCGGTTGGAATATTATCAAAAACAGATTCCGATACAGTTCTAAAAAAAGAAGTAAAATGAGAAAAAAGAAAAGAAAAGTCTTTTCCTATGTAAATCTTAGTCTTTTAAATTATTTTTGCATCACAAACTAAACAAGCTATTTATTGCTTGACTTTATTCTACCTTCAGGGCAAACCGGGAGTAACTGGATCAGTGATGTGGGACAGTGGAGTTGTATTAGGAAAGTTTCTAGAGCAAGCTGTGGACTCAGGATTGCTTTTTCTTAAAGGAAAGAAGATCGTGGAGTTGGGTTCTGGTTGTGGTTTAGTTGGGTAATCATTATCACTATCCCTCACCCTTAGCTTCTTGCTTATCACTTTAACTCTCTTGTTCTTACTTTATGGTTTATTAGCTGCATTGCAGCTCTTTTGGGTGCTCAAGTTATCCTCACAGATTTGCCGGATAGACTGAGACTACTGAAAAAGAACATTGAAACCAATCTGAGTCATGGAGATTTGCAGGGCTCTGCCACAGTTAGGGAGCTAACATGGGGAGATGACCCTGACCAGGAATTGATTCAACCTTTACCTGATTATGGTAATGCCTCTCGTTATTTTTTCTTATTTCTTATTTATGATATCAGATAATTGCCCTGTGATAGACCCCCTGTCAATATAGTCTATAAGTCAAGGGGCAGCACTAAGAGTAAAGGCACTAAGGGGAAAGGGGCGTGAGTGTGTATGGTTACAGAATATGGGTGAGGTTGTTACAGTTTGTTACGGGATTCTCATGCATGTGGATGGGTAGAATAAAAGTTGTTATGGAAGGGTAGTATAGGAAGTAATTGGGTATAAATAGTTAGGGTGTGATAAGGGAGGTATCAAGTTGAATCATTTTGGTTTTGTGGGAGGTCTCCAGCTCCTCGAATTGCTGGAAGTAGACTGGAATCACTTTTTCTTGCTACTGTTATTTTCTTTCTGTTTCAATAATAATCTTTAGTTAATTCTCTTGAGCTTTACTTTCATACAGTTCTTGTGTGTGTGTGTTGGAGTTGAGTTATTTTAGCAGGTGGTTCCATCACCCTGCTACTCAAATTTTGAGCTACTAAACTAGAATATATCAAGAAAACTTGGGAGTAATTAATTGCTTTTGAATTTTAAACAACTTACAATCCTTTTCTTAAGAAAAATTGTATATATAAATGATTTTTTTTTTAATTCACACTTCAACTCCCATAGATGAGAGTTGTAATAATTCCGATTTCCTGAATCTGGTTTTGCAATAAATAAGGTATGATGATTCTTTTCATATTCTAAAGAAATCTCATGTGTGATTTTCTATATGACCTCCAATAGTGTTATCTGAACAACTGCATATAGTCAGCTTTGTACTCTAGACTCATTGCAAGAAACTATTAACTTCTAGAGTTTCTACTTTAAGAACTAGAGAGCTCCTTGCATGATTCCTTGAATGCTTCTTGGTGATGACTGTCTCCAAATTATTTGCTGTCCTTGAGTTTGGATCATGAGGGTATTTCTTTACCAGTTTAGTATGTATACTCCATTTTTAGTGCTAGGGTCAGATGTGATCTATGGTGAAGGAGCAGTGGTGGATTTATTGGACACATTACGGCAACTTTGTGGAACCCAAACAACAATTTTTTTGGCTGGAGAACTTCGAAATGGCAAGACTTTTCTCTCTTTTATTTATCTCTTTCCTTCATTTTCTAGGAGCCCATGGGTTCATAACGCTTCTACCATTGCAGATTCCATCCTAGAATACTTTTTAGAAGCTGCAATGAAGGATTTTGTGATTGGGCGTGTCGATCAATCACAGTGGCATCCAGATTATTGCAGCTGTCGAGTTGTGATGTACATCCTAGTCAAGAAGTAAAAGTTAGAGAAAACACCCATGTGGGATCAAACCGGCTACCAGACTGTACAACACACTTTTACAAGAAGCAAAAACGCCGTAGGGCCAAAAGTTGATTGGCAAGTTCAGAAATAATCTCTGGATATGACCGTGCTAGTCAATAGCTATAAACTCTGGATGTATTCAGGCCTATGACGGCTCAATACCAACCTTTTGATGTGTTTACTTTTATAAATAGAACTGTGGTTTCATAAAGCTATGCCTCTTTCCACCCTTTTCCATCAGAAGTTTCAATTCAATCCCTTATCTAATTTTATCTAGTGATGTTTTAAAAACTTCTGAGAAGTTTGGTGATGCCCTGATAGCTTTTTAACAAGATGAGAAGTGTGTGTACCATCTGATAAACATTTCCATGTGCAGGATTTCCAATTTGTTCTGTTTCTTGTACTGTATGACATGACTTCTACTCAAGTTAGGCTGGATGTTGCCTCGAATACTGTTGAAGGACTATAGGTACTAAATCCTGCAGAGGCCTCTTACGGAGTCAACTCGATCCACCCTAAAATGAAGTAGTGATTTACACTTTATCTAAGGCATTAATAATTTGTTTGTCTTCAAATCAGCACCTGTCAGGATGGCCGAGTGGTCTAAGGCGCCAGACTCAAGTTCTGGTCCTCGAAAGAGGGCGTGGGTTCAAATCCCACTTCTGACAATACTTTTCCATTTTTTGTGCAAAATCAAAATTTTAAAATAAACTGAAAACATTTTTTTTTTGTGCAAAATAATAATGAAGTTTGTTTTTTGTTTATACAAATATTTTCTGCAAATTAATAGTAGAGCTTTTTTTTGTTGTAGTTTTGTAACTAAGTGGAGACTTTCTCATTTTATGATTAAAATCTTTAATTTTACTAATAATTATAGTTCGCATATTAAATCATTCAAGATATATCAAATAAATATAATGACACATAAAAATTTCTCATTTCAAGTAAACTTAAGGGAATTTTATTGGTAATATAGTGATAGAAAAAACAAAAAATAAAAGTTAAAAATGAATAATATTAATAGCTTCCCTCATGTTTTACAAGTATTAAAAAAATAAAAAGAAGGGGGCCCCATGGTTCCCTATGGTAATATAGTGATAGAAAAAACAAAAAATAAAAGTTAAAAATGAATAATATTAATAGCTTCCCTCATGTTTTACAAGTATTTATTAAAAAAAAAAAAAGGCCCCATGGTTCCCTATGGCAATTAGTAAACATGCTTGGCTGCCGGCTGCCACTCTGGCTCCCACCAACTACCTAGTCAAGCTCCCACCAGCTACCTCGCCAAGCTCCCACCAGCTGCCACCATCTTCTTACGGGACCAAAAAATTACCAACCCAAAACAAAAGCAAAACAAATTTTCCTTTTTTGGTTTGAACTCCTTTATTCTTCTTCGCGTTGTTCAAACAAATGTCTTCCACCATGAACAAACCCCATGCCATCACCTGCAAAGGTAATTTATGATGAAATGGCTAAGAACCCATCTTTTTCTTTTTCATTTTATGAATATTTTCCGAAACCATTAATGGTTAAATGTGAAAATTGATGAAGCTGCGGTTGCATGGGGACCTGGAGAGCCGTTGGTGATCGAAGAAGTTCAAGTGAGTCCACCACAGCCTCAGGAGATCAGGATCAAAGTTGTCTCAACCTCTCTCTGTCGCAGCGACTTAACCGCTTGGGAAACCCAAGTAATTATTTTTCTTGCTCTTTTGGCATTTTGTTTTGCTACCATTTATTAAAACTTAGAAACTTGCTTTAATATGTTGCAGAGCTTGATCAAAATAAGAATACGCTTTTGGGAATTGGGATGATGAGATTCCATAAACTTATTCAATTTTTGAATAGATAAATGCATGTTTGACTTGTTATACTCGTGATTTAACATTTATGTTGAAGATTAGGATTGTTGAAGTACTGGCCCGGTACTGATACCGGGTCTTTTCCTACTATGCGGGTACAGAAACATGTCCCTGGAAGATTTTATTACCTTAGAATGTTGAGTATTTTCGTACTTGAGACTTAAGAAGATCTGCCAAAAAGCAGTGTACTACTTTTTTCTGCTTAGTGAAGCTACGGAATACTTTTATTTCTATAATCATGTTGTTATAGTCCAGAATGAGGCTGTTATACATATAACTCCTTTAATTTTTGTAATTTTACTGTTTCTGTGGATTCCCAAATGACAATTTAAATGTCTAACATAGCCATTTTGTTTCAAACAGGCTATATTTCCTCGGATATTTGGCCATGAAGCATCTGGGTATTTTCCAAACCTTTCCATTTTTAATTTGAGCAAATATACTTAAAGACTTGAGGACAGTTCTATCTAAACTTAAGAAGCTTTCCAACTATTGGGCAACCATTAAGATTTTTATGAATGCTTACCGGCAATAATTCTTTTTTCTTGGACATTCCTTGAAAATGGCCTATGGGTTCAAGGCTTTTAAGTGGAGTTAAAGATTAAAAATGTTGTCTTGTTACATCTGAGAAGCTAAGCTTGGGTGAGTCATTGGCAATCAGTTTGGCCATGGCACTGCTCTAGATGTCTATGTTCTACTAAGGCTTAAGCTATGTTTAGAAATAGATACACAGCAGCATCATGTAGGTCTAATTAAGGGTTAAACTGGGGTAGGTAAGATTTGGAGCCCTGGATGATCACTTCGTGTGCACTATTTTTGTAATATGATCGCTGTAGTTGGTTAAATACCCCTAATATCTTTGAGAACATAAAATGTATTGTGTCTCTGGTAATCATCTTGTGTAGGATTGTTGAGAGTGTGGGAGCAGGAGTCACAGAATTTATAGAAGGGGACCATGTTCTTACAGTATTCATTGGGGAATGCCAGACATGTAAACATTGCAGATCAGTTAAAAGCAACACATGTGAAGTTCTGGGTTTGGAAAGGAGAGGTGTGATGCACAGTGATCAGCAGACCCGCTTCTCAATTAAAGGCAAGCCTGTTTATCACTACTGTGCGGTTTCAAGTTTCAGTGAATATACAGTGGTTCACTCTGGATGTGCTGTCAAAGTCAGCTCAGTTGCCCCACTGGACAAAATATGCCTACTGAGTTGTGGACTTGCAGCAGGTAAAATTTTCAAGCTAGATTTAGCCAATTAGTCATAGGGAAAAAGCTTATGTTCTTAGATCTTTAACTTAAACAATGCATGAGACAGGACTGCTATAATTGTTTCTTAAAATCAGAAAAATCCACTAATGTAAACAAATGTACACCCACCTGATAGTATAATTTCCCTTACAATAATAGATATGGGATTCAATTTAACTATAATTTCTCATTTTTCTTTCTTGTGATAAATTTCTAAAAATGTGTTTTTGGTGGTTGCCAATACACACACAGGCAATACATACCTTTGTCATGAACAAAAGCTCATTCATACATTCGTTAGCATGTATACCCTTGAAGACTCCTGTGGTTGAGTTTGAGGCTGTAATTCTTTGTCCTGACTGCCCTTTTCATCCACAGGCAGTTCATACCTTCCTAATGAACAAATGCATATACTTGTTATTTCTCGTAGATACATGTGATTGAGTTTGAGGACGCAATTCTTTGTCCCTTCTGAGTGTGTTTCTCATCTGAGGCTGTATTCAGGTCTAGGTGCAGCATGGAATGTGGCTGATATATCAAAAGGATCAACTGTAGTGATTTTTGGTCTTGGAACTGTAGGCCTTTCTGTAAGCATATGGAAAATTATTAACATCTCTATCTCTTGTACTTGTCCGAACCATCCCATTCAACTATCTCTAACATGACCACAATCAATAATTTGTATGATCAGGTTGCTCAAGGAGCCAAAATCAGAGGGGCATGTAGAATTATTGGGGTTGACACTAACCCTGAAAAGAGTGAAAAAGGTATTTTGTGTAAAGCAGATTGCAGTTCTGTATTCTGGGATTTTCCATTGCAAGTCACTTGAATACAATGAAGTCGATAACAGTTTTCTCCTATGGTTGCAGCAAAGGTTTTTGGAATAACAGAATTTCTCAACCCCAATGACTGCAATGAACCTATTCAACAGGTATTAAATCATTTAAATAACCTTGTAATCTTCTAATTATCATGCTTGTGCAGCGCGTATCAGCAGAGACACAAATTTATGCACCACAAACATGCAATATACAATATAATTCATTACTATTGAAGTTTGATTTGGACTCTTTTGTATGTAACTCTTCAGGTTATTAAGCGAATTACTGATGGAGGGGCTGATTACTCGTTTGAATGTATTGGTGATACAGGGATGATAACTACAGCATTACAGTCATGTTGTGATGTAATTTCCTTTCATCGAATCAGATAATTCTTTTCCATTTGAGGAGCTTTATTAGCTACATGACTTAACAATTATAATTTTTCATTTCTTTTTTCTTTATAGGGATGGGGTTTGACAGTTACTCTTGGTGTACCAAAAGTGAAACCTGAAGTAGCAGCACACTACGGGCTATTTCTAAGCGGAAGAACGTTAAAAGGAACTCTATTTGGAAGATGGAAACCTAAATCTGATCTTCCTTCACTACTAGACATGTACTCAAAGAAGGTAAGAGTAAGAAAAGAGTAGAAATTCTTCATGGTGGAATTCTGTTTAAACTAGCTTTAATTGTTCGTTTAAGTACTTATCTTCATTCTTTGAACCATTCCTTTCCTAAGAACTTCATCTTCAACCAATCATTCATTAACATGATAATTATGTACACTACACAGGAAATCATGATCGATGAATTCATCACTCATGATCTTCAGTTCGAGGATATCAACAAAGCTTTCAATCTCATGAAAGAAGGGAAGTGTTTGCGCTGCGTCATCCACATGCCAAACTAGGTACAATGGGGCTATAAAGTTAGATTACAATGAACAGATATTCTTGCCAAAGTGACTCTTTGTAAATTTCAATCAAGGTTTCTGTTTTGATGAGCATCATTGTGAAGGTTATGGAATTATTTAGTATCATTGCTTTCTTGTTGAACCACCATCGTCATCAATCATCAAATTTTCGGGGCTTCCATTTCAATAAAGATCTATTATCAATCTTCTTCTTTATAGGGTCTTTTTAAGCTTTCCAAGCCAAATTTGAGAAGTGATTTTTAGCCTCCATTATTAAGTACAACCTTTTTATATTTTAAAATCTCTTTTTAAACCCCCCTTAATACAAAAATTACCCTTTTAAACTTAATTGGTTTTTCTTTATCCTGATTTTTTAGTTTTCTGATATTTAGATCTTCTCCTTTTTTTTTTTTTTTTTTTTTCTAAGTTCGTCAAAATTCATTGAAATATAGCAATTATAATAGAAGTGGTAAATATCTATTTTAATTTATTTTTTTTCCTTTTAATTTCTTAAACTCAAGATTTTGTCTTCTTAATTACTAATAATTTTCTATATCTTTATATACTTCTTTCATCAACCAATAATTGTTAAGTGCACAGTTACGTACTTATCATTCTAAGAACTCCACCATAAGTGAGATAATTGTGTTTAAGACGAACTAACATATTGGAGTTTGGAGTGGATAATTGAAAGTAAAAAGGAAGATGAGGATATAAAAACCATATTTGAGTTTAACCGAAAAATTAATACATAGAAAAGTGAAAAGGGATTTTTTTTTTTTTTTTTTTTTTAGTTAAAAGGATAAACTATGAATTTTAAATGTTATAAAAAATAAATAAAAGGAAATATCAAATAAAGTAGAAGTTGTACTTAGAATTTAGTGTTCTTTATAGTAATTTTATTGGTTAAACTTGTTAAAATAAAAAGAAAATTTATTGTAGAAATTAGTAAAAAAAAAAAAAAAGATTCTTGTGTTTTGATGTCATTATATGGTTATATTAAGAAAAGTAATGCTATTAACCCATTTCTAAATTTACCCCATTAAAGTTTTTAAACTTATTTAAATGTCTAAATAAACCTCATCCGTTTACAAAATAACCTTTACATTTATATTTTTATCATTCGGGTTTTACTTTTCCAATCCTTGTTTTATATATACTCTTTTTTTATTATTATTATCTTTACTTAGCTATCAATCAAGCAGATAAACAATTGTGCTCTTTATGTTTCCTTTAAAAATAAATAAATAAATTACAAACTATAAGTTCTATAAGTGTACAAAATTAATTGAAAATTAGAAACAATAAACTATGATAAAATAAAATCAAAAAATTTATATTGTTGATCATAATGATCATCAAAAGATTGGGATTTCACCTTTTAACTATCTTTCGGCTTATTGCTTGAAATAAAATAAAAAAATAAAAAATGTTTTAACAACGTTTTTATCAATTTTAAACAATCATGGTACAATTAGTATGAAAGCAAATTTCATTACTTAAATAAAATATTAAAAACATTTAAATTATTGTTAAATATTAAAAAGGGCATACCTTCCTCATTATAAGAAAGATTCGTCTCTAGTTAGATGCTTATATTTTTCAGTAAACAACTTTTTCCCACCCAAAGTTTGCCTTAATGACACTTTCCCACCAAAAGTTAATATTTTGTTACTACCCAAAGTTGATTCTAGTAACAAAAATTCTCTCCATCGCTATCATTTGAACTTTCAGTCTTCTCTCTATAAAACTCATCTTACTCAAATACCTGATTTCTCTCTGATTGCTGGCCACCATAAAGTTAGGATTTTTTATTCTTAGTTGATTTTCGATTGATTCCAATGGTAAATATTCAATCAGTTACCACCGTTCAATCCACTGGTCTCCACTCTATAAAACCCCTCTTACCCTAGCTTCTAGTAATTCTATGAATGTCGGTTGAAAAAGTGAAGTGAATTTTAGATATTTACAAAATATAAACTTTGGGTGAAAAAGTGACATTTTGAAACTTTTTTAGTAGAAAAGCGTCATTAAGGCAAACTTTGGGTGGGAAAAAGGCGTTTACTATTATATTTTTAGGTAAGTAGTTCTAATAACTTAACAACCTGAATAATTTAAACATCGTTGTATTTCCCTTTAAATTGAAAAAAAAAGCTCCAAGGTGATTGGCAAAGTGTGAAAAACATCTCTTACTTGCGCATGATAAAGTAATAAAATTGAATTAAAAAGCTTCCTGCTTAGCTGAACTACCACCTTTACCAGTCCTTGTATAATGTTGTTATTAGGTAAGACTGGTGAGAATTTCTCAACCCAAAAAGGGTTTGTCTCTCAAACACAAATAATTCCACCCCACACAACACCTACAATCACTTAAACAAATGTAAAAAAGTCAAACAAAACAAGCAAGCTCATCAATTCCAACTATCTATTTAATGGCTTCACCATTTCAACAAGCAAAGGCTTTATAACTCTTAATAGTTTCTTGTTTCGTGTTCATGACTTGTAACTTCACTTGAAAAACAAGAGAGGAAATGGCTGATCATCAGAAAATTCATCCCATGGTGGATGTTGAAGCTGCAACATCAAGAGTGCCTTTAGTATCAGACAAAGGTACTGGTATTAGGCCACAAGCACAAGTTCCTCCGCAGAGAACGATCCCAGTAATGCAGTTGAACCCACCAAGGAAAAGCGGAAGCTGTTTCTGTAAGTGCTTCTGCTGGACAATTAGCATCCTGGTTCTTCTCATAATTATTATTGCAGCAGTTATTGGCATTCTTTACCTTGCGTTCCAACCAAAACTGCCAAAGTACTCAGTTGACAGCTTGAAAATAAGTGATTTAAGGCTCAACTTGGACTTATCATTGTATGCAAAGTTTGATGTAAAGATTACAGCCAACAATCCAAACAAAAAGATTGGAATTTACTATGAAAAAGGAGGGAGATTGAGTGTTTGGTACACAAAAACTCAGCTATGTGAAGGGTCACTGCCAAAATTCTACCAGGGTCATCAGAACATAACAAAACTTGATGTGGAATTGACAGGCCAAAATCAGTATGGTAACACTTTGATGAATGCATTGCAACAACAGCAACAAACAGGGAGAATTCCTTTGGATCTTAAGGTCGATGCACCGGTGGCGATCAAACTTGGCAGGTTGAAGCTCAGGAAAGTCAGGATTTTGGGGGAATGCTTGTTGGTTGTTGATAGTTTATCTGCTAACAATCAGATCAGTATCAAAGCTAGTAACTGCAAGTTTAAATTGAAGCTTTAAATATTTTCTACATGTTTGTTTTTAATTTTTCTTCCACTTTTTCTATTTCCCTAATTTTGAGATGTTAATTGGGAAGTTTGATTTTTATTTTTATTTTTTCGTTGCATTCTTTAGGTTTCTTTTTTTATATATGTATTTATATGGGGCATATTACTATTCATTATTTTGATTTATTTCACTATATTTTTAAAATAACTCATTGCTTTTTCTTGTTCTTTTTAGTATCGATGTCACTTTTAAATTTTTACCCATTTGATCAAACGATATATAGCCCAATAATAGAGTTTAGAAATGATTAAATTGGAAACTCATACGTATCAAATTAAATTGCACAATTAATGCATTTTAAAACAATATAATTTTGATGCAATCTAACCATCAGAATGTGTATATGAAATATCTGCAACTTCAAGGGGTTGGTTCTCTTTGACAACATAAACAAAACAATTTGCAAAAGAATTTGAATATGTTGAAAAGGGACATATTTGGAGACTGAAACAAATCATTGAAAATTATGTATTTATCCCAACCATACTATCAACCATTTGTATATACAAAGTTCCATAGGACATCAGATCATTCTCCCTTAAAAATGCATCCGGAAAACACACCTTTAACAGCTATTGTTGGAGACACCCCCACCCATTAAACAGCAGCGATATTTGCTCTCAAGGTGATGCATGCCAGTGATGGCCAGTCCTGAAAACGGCCTTGTTCTTCAGCACCAGCTTCATGGTGATTGGAAGATCATCAGGCATTCTTAAGGAACATCAGGCACAACCTGGTTCCAATTATTAATATCTTTTAGAGCAGGAAATTGCAAAAATAATCCACTTTAAGATGAACTATATAGTTATGACAATGAGCGAAACTGGGTAGCAGAACATGAGCAAGTATGAAGCGTAATTTGGCTACAATTGGTGTACATTCAATAAGCTGGTACATGCAAAATATCAAGTTCATATAAGGGATTTTGTTACCTCTAATGGCCCTGCATATAAAACCTCCTTGTTGTACAGTCCCCATAGTATATATATGGCTAATCACCAGTTAAAGCCCGTGGTCTATGCTCAATGGTAGAAAGAGACATCCCAGTCTGTGAAACTGCTCTTACAAATGCCATATTCGCAGTCAAAGTTGGTGCGTGCCAGCAATCACCAGTTCCAAAAACAACCTTGTTCTTCAGTGCCAGCTTTCTAGTGGTTGGAAGCCACATCAGACGCTCAGAAGGACTATCATTCACAACACTGTTCCAATTCACAATTTTATCAAGTGGAAAAAATAATGAGATTGATTTACTGGATTAAAACCAATCAAGAACCCAAAATCAACAAATCAAGTAGTGAGAACAAAGTTAAATCCCATTCTGATCTGACTACTTTTCTTAATAGTGACTTATCTAAACATTTTCAAGGCTCACCGTGACCTAGTTGTATTTGAAATTATCTCAAAAGAAAGTCAAAGGTTTGTCCAACTTGATTTTAAGTGATCTATACCCAGCCTAAAGGTCAGAAATCAAAGCAAGCCCCAATGATGAACCACAAGTCAGTCTGACAAGCTTATTGCTTAGCAAGTGAGGTTGAATTGAGGCCAATGTTTGGACAAAATCATGCCCATGAATTTGTGCTCCTCAGTAGTGGTCTGAACGCTGGTTCCACAAATCCCTCCCGATAAATTTCTCCAAAGCACACACCCACTCTCTTAACTGTTGAATACTTACTAGTCCCAACTTTTAGTAGAAAATTAGATAATCTTAATAAAACTACAATGAAAATAATTAATATATAACCATCCTACTAATTTTAATTCTCAAAATGTCAATGTTTTGTTTAAAGGACAGATGTAGCCATAAAATCACATGACTTAACTTAATTGCCCTGGAAGAAAATTATGGAATTCTTAATTCTTATTAAACATGACTAAATACAAAGAATTTATACAGTAATGAATTGTTATTCTAGGAAGTTAATCCCCATAAATCATAAAACAATTAACTACTAATTTACAGCTAATTGATTATAATTACTCCCTATGATTACTGCTATCCCTATGATTATTGCTAAATACAAGAATACTGGGATTTCAATTAGATCTGAATTTCCAACAGCCCTTAATGAAATAACAAGAACAAAAATAACCTGAATGCGCTAGACTATCAAGTCTATCACTATCTAGCATGGTCTAACATACTTTAATTAGACTATTAAACCATACAGTTAAATGCTAAACCATCAAGTCTTGTTTAGTCTAGCATTATATATTAGGAATATATCAATTGTGGTTTCATTAAGGGTATAATTGGTAAGTAACTCAGTTTTATGTTTTGATTTGTCCTTTATATTTTGGGAAAGTGTGATTATTGAATTGGCTATATATGTCTAAACCCCATTTATTTTTCACAATAGATGGGATTACTAACTTGACTTTAACACCACATGGATCATAAAAAAATAAGCTAACAAGTTAACACCCTCAGACTACAGTTTCCAGTTCTTCAACACTCCAACCTAAGACATCACAAGAGAAAGAAGCTAAATGGTAATTATCTAAATATCAGATACATTTTTGTACTTTGCATATTCTGTAGTTAAGAGCAGTGCAACCACCAACTTATGTTCCTCCAGCATAGCATAATCAATTTTGAATCCTGTTTCCTTTCAATATTAATGTTTTAAAACTAAAGAATTCGAGAAAAAGTAAAGTGGTAAACAAACTCACATGAAGTATTTCAATAACTGATTAGATCTCAACTTTTCATTAGGCCCTCCACACATCAAGACCAACTCCTTGAATTCAGAAAGCACACTTTCACATATTATGCCTCTCTTTCCCGCTAATACACCACCCAATTCCTCACAAATTGGATTCTGAAGTTCTGACATAGCCTGGCAAACTTTGTTAGTGGAAAAGATTAAAAAGAATGTAGCATAATAGAGGTAGTAGAATGACAGCCTAAAGAGTTTATAAAAAAATAATTATAAGTGGTAATTACAAGAGTTCTTAGAACACACTGCACATCACCAGAAAGTAAAATGAGGGAGAAAGGACAAAAAGAGCATCTGCATCATTGCTATGCAAATTCACCTCAAACTCATGGCACAGAGAAAGCAACCTCCACATCAGGACAAAAGCTAAAAGACTCTGAATTCCAATTTTGAAGTTTAATGAATTAAGAACCCATGTTGGATCCTTAACCAATAACTTAAGCTTTGTGTAAAGTAGTTTCTCAATATAGAATCCAAGCTAAAAGTCTCGTGTTCAAATCTCTCATGTGTCACATAATGTCAATAATTTATTCAATCAATCTCAGTTTAGCCCTACAATCTCATCCAATCCGTTAAAACTTCACATCCGATTCATTTTACTTTTGAATGGACTGTTAGACTTAACTATCAATGTTGGGAACTTACCTAATACGTTAAACTTTAAAGAGGTTTAAACATAGATATTTGGCAGCTCATCCAGGATTCTCAGTAAAAGACCTCAATGCCAAATGATTGTCTAGCAATAACTATCCAGAAGTGGTGGCAATCAACTAGCTTAGCTAGGAAAGTATTCATCATTCCATATAAGACCTAGTAAAATCAGCTGACAACAGTAAGTGCATTTAACATAAGTTGACAAATACTAGTTACACGAAATTGAAATGTTAAGCTAAAATGAAAAAAGATAGAACCTTAATAATGTTTTACATGTCTGACCACCTTATGTGCTAAGATATTCAAGGTCACAAGAACTGAATAAAAAGTTACCTGTGCAATCACAAACTGAACATTGCCCTTAAATCGCTGCCTCAGTTCAATCTCTGATGTAGCCAAAAGTTTCTCTGCACAACCATTACTGATTCCTGATACAAGAGCAATCAAAGCTGTCGTATCAAAGTTTACAAGATCACCCTCACTCAGCAAATGATCCGGTTCACCCATAGAACATAATTTCATTTGTGATACAAGAGAACCGAAACTACCACCCAAATTCAAGCTTGCAATCTCCTCTCTAACATTAGACCCTTTAGTATCAAAAGTCGCGTCTTTAACACCACATTCTGAACTTGAAACATCATTCCCACTGAAATCAACATTTATTTCAAAAACACACGCCTCATGAAATGATCTCGAAAGCACATGCACCCACGCATCTTCTTCTTCCTCACAAGAATCAAACTCAAACAAGCTAATCTCCAAAGCGCCAAATTCACCTCGAAGGTGATCACGAACAAAGTCCCCAACTCCATGACTAAAGAAAAGAATTACCTTTCTAGGTCTCAAAGTCCCACAAGACCTGGCCGCAGCCAAGACTTCCTCAACTCTCGACTTCAAACCCTTACTCTTATGATATTCATTCCAACTAACATACTTAGGATTTCTATCAGAAACAAGAATCCAAACTGGGATTTTATCAAATGTACAAACTAAATCAACATGAACATATTTAAATCCACTTTTTATTGGCTTGCAAACACGTGAAACCCCACTTATAAGAGGGTGTTGAAGCACATAAAGCACAGCCTCAAGGTGACCGATGTTAACACTGAAAAAAAAAAAAGTTTTCAAAAATCAATAAAAGAATGAAAATTTAAAGAAAATGTAATGAAAGTGAATGAAGAGAATAGAGTACCTGAGGGGAAGAGTGACGGAAGAGCGAGAGAGAAAGTTGAGTTCAGAGAGGGCTAATTTGGAGAGGGTTTGTTTGGATGAACGGGTGATGTTGGTTGATGAAGGTAGCCTTTCAATTTGATCTATCAGTGTTTGAATCTATTCACTTCGCAACTTGACATTCCTCCATACTACTTGCTACACTCTCTGTTGTGTGTGTTCTCCTTTAGATTTTGTAAGAGGGAAATTTTATCTAAGGGGCTTTTCGGACACTTTATGAAAATGTGGGTTAAAAATATAAATTACATACACCCTAAAAATTTTCCACCCACAATATTTTAAGGTATACAAGAACCCCCTTATGAGGGAGTTTAACCCTTTTATTATATAATCTCGTTGGTAAACCTGGTTGGTTCAGCGATGGCAAGTGAAGAGGAGTCAATCGAGCAAGCTGCTGCAGCGCGTCGAGAGAGGTCAAGGCTTTGAGAGCTGCTCAGGAACTTCTAAACTCTCAGACGATGATTCAGTCCTCAAGCTGACGATAAGGAACTGATGAAGAAGGTGAGTATTTTCATCTTACTTTAATGCTCTGAAATTGCAATTTGGTTTCGGGTTTGTCTCAATTTTGTAAATTTTCTAAAGGGTTGTTTTCTCTTCAATAAAGCTCAATTTTTGGGGAGATTTAAGATCACTTTGCTAAATTAGTTTTTTTTTATTTAGGGTTTTGTTTTAACATATTCTGGATTTTATTTAGTATTTGATGAAATTTAATTCATTAATGTCATAGAAACTTAGCTGAAAGCTATAACTTTTACATGTATTGAAGCGAAATTCAAAGCATTATGATTACTCGTGTTCAATGTTATCAGCTGTTCGTCTTATGGATGTTTTGCATGCCTTTGTTTTATATATATATATTATATAATATATATATATATATTTTTTTTTTTTTTTTTTTTTTTTTTTTGTGCATGATTTTTGCCGGAAGAGAATGAAATCCTCTTCGACATCTATGAAATGATTTACAGTGAAGAAAGTATGAGTCTCGTTCGTATATTTCGTTACTACTATAGACCTTCAATGTGTTTGGCCTGAAAATTAGGGCTTGAAAATAGTTGATTTCATCTCAATTTGGTAAGACATCTTGTAACTTGTGGTCTGAATGACATAATTTGGGTTTATGTTACGTCTGAAACAAAAAAAGATCTTGACATATTCCAAAGCATAACATGGTAAATTTTTTTGTTAATATCTTTTCTTCATGCTTTGTTGTAAATTAGAGGAGCTGCATTGGAGATGTTTAAGTTTATGGAGCACAACCTCATCTTAGAGAAAAGTTTAATAGAAAACAATTTTTCTTTTTTTGTAATATCAGGAGAATTCATATTTTTGGGAAGAATAGGTGATCTTGCACTTATAGTTATATCTCCTTTACTTGCTTTATGTTAAAATCTGGACGACTCAGTTAGACATATAAATATTTTCCATTTCTCCGTGAAATTCTTATCTGAACATGTACAATTTTCGTGTGCAGTAACACCAACATGAAATTTCGAAATTATGTCCCTCATGATAAGCAGCTCCAGGAAGGTAAACTCGCTCCACCAGTGCTACCAAAGTTTGAAGACCCTATTGCAGCAGAACCGCCTGCTCCAGAAAAGAAAGAGGTACTGATCTTCCTCTTAATGTTCCTTGTTTTTTCACCACTTATTATTTTGATTGTACCCATGTCCCTTTTTCAATGCTTTCTAAATTTGGAATGCTGATTAGGATCCATTCGTCAACATTGCTCCAAAGAAGCCAAATTGGGACCTGCGGAGGGATGTGCAAAAGAAGCTTGATAAGCTTGAAAGGCGCACACAAAAGGCAATATATAAAATTATGGGTAAGTGCTATTTTTTATACAACATGGCAGGAATATATACATATTTCCTATAAACATAACTGATGCTTTTTTGTTTTTCTCTTTTTTATCTGCTTTGGATATGGTGGTGAGATTTGAAATGTAAGACATAGTGTTATTCATCAATATGATTGACTTGTGATTTTATTTAAGCAAAATGAAATTTCATCTTCTTTTGGAGAATAATGTTTTGTTATTTCATCTTTTGCTTTTTGAAATTAGGATCTTCTGCACCTTTTATTTTTAGTTTTGGATTACAAGCTTTCTGATTTTTTCATGTATGGGTCAAATGGGGACTAGGAATGGATTATGCTTATGCATTCAGATCAGGTCAAAGTGTAGAATACGGTCCAAACACTTATTATAGACTTTCACTCTGAATTCTGAGCATCTTAACCTAATTCTTCAAAGTTAAACCAGTTCTAATGGGAAATATAGTTTCCTTAAATGATGTAAGATTGCAAGTTCCAACGTTTTATTATGTGACTTACTAAAAGTGTTAGGTTTTTTGAATACTTTCTGCTGCTTCCATGCCTATTCTATTAATTATAAAACATCAAGCAGCATATTATGAATTTTCTCCAATGTTCCATAATGATCCATCAATGGACACTATATATATATATATATAGCACTATTAGTAGATATAATCGAAAACTTTACTGGTTAGCTAGAGTTGATCATCTCTTTAGTGTCCCCACAAAAGATCTGCCCATGATCTTTCTTTGAAAGATATTTAGTTTTTTTTTATTAGTTCATCTTCTTCACAGATTCCTTATTCTGGTGCCTAAGTCTCCATTGATCTGGTGTAATAATTTGATGATGCAATGAAACTGTCTATATCTCTTGTCAAATTTGTTTTAACTGATTTTACTTTGTTATTTCCTCAGAAGAACAAGAAAAAGAAAAGCAGTTGGCTGAAGATGAAAGCGGAAATGCAGTGGAAGATTCAAATTAGAATCCAACAAAGCAAAACATCTGCTGAAGAACCCCGATGATCATTAACAAATGACTGAGAACTACAGTTTGTTGACCTACCTCGAGGAACAACTTACAATTATAGTAGTGAATTGGTCAACATAAAACTTCTGAAACTTACGCACTTCACTTTTATAAGAGTTGCTATCTTTTCCAGTAAATGTACTTATGTAGTATGTTTTGTCAGTAGAGTTGATTACTGTATGCAGGCTATATACAAATACACATTTTTGTCCGGATTCTGACATAGATTGGATGCAATATTAGAATTTGAGCTGTTCAGTTATATTGGAAGTTTTGTGATCTCTCTAATTTTGAGTTTCTTTTGATCTGCAAACTTGTATGAATATATCATAGCTTTTATAGATTCTGTGATATAGGACATTTAATACCATTAATATATCGTCAAGTTTCTTATCTTTGTCCAGGTAAGAACTCAAGGCAAAGTAAAGTTCTTGACTATGTCAAATGAGAGAAATTTGGAGAATTCACACCAGTATTGAATGTCAAATAATCTCCCTTTTCGAAAGCTGAAAAGTAATCCTGTTGGTGAAAGTATAAAAGGGCTTCTCCAAGCGAGATTTTAAACAAGAATTGACATTAAGGGATGCAATTCCAGCAACATCAATGAGTGATTTGAAGTTTGGAACATGTTTCAAATGTAACATTCTATATTACAACTTCCATTATTAAAAGGCTATAGTTAAATGATACAAGTTTATCGCTATTACAGCATTTTCACAAGGGAAGTACTCATTCACGTTCTCTGTTTTATCGATGTTTGCGGATTCTAATGAATCCAGGAAAGCGCTTAATGCAGATTTTACCAAAAAGCTTACAATAGTTGACAAAGGAAAATAAATTAACAAAATGATACTAAGTGCAAAGAACAATATGATGATATAACAGATGGTAACCCTGAACCAATAACATGTATGAGGATACAGTTTCAGTATGCAACACAACATAATTGCTGGCTACTTCATAGATAATTAAAGCTGTAATGGCGAAGAACAACAGTGTCATTCAAGCAGTACAAGCAAGGACTTGTACATCTCTGTTACCAAACAAATGGACATTTTCATGGCTCATTTAAGTGAAGAGAGAGCATACATAGCTTTACAGTTTCGGCAAAGAAAACCATCCCTTCGCTGGAAACAAACAATTTACACACAATGGGGAACTTGTGCAAGGATCTATCACAGGATGAGTTATGAATATCATGGTAATAAAGAAGAAAATGGAAAAGGAAGATACAAAAGAAAAAAGTCGGAAAAAGACAGCTGAATAAATTGAACCTTTGATGCACACAACAATAGAAGAATTGTCCACCTGGTTGACTGGCCAATCTGTGCTTGAGATTGGCCCATGTATATCTGTAAGTTGAAATTTATATCATATACGGCCTATCTTCGGTCACCCTTGAGTTGGTTGGAGGTGGTTTGCACCCTATTCATGTTCTCCATGTTCCAAGAGGGGTCCACTGGAGGAAGTTGAAATTCATCAGGTTTCAGGGCCAGAGCAAAATCAGGTAAGGTTGGTGCCGTCTCCATGATTCTGTAGTGAAAATTACCAATATCCATGTTATCATTCATTGTCAACCTCTCTCAACCATAATAAAAAGGTTGCATTAAGACTCAATTAATTATCATATGATAACACAACTTACTTTTCATGGGAGTATAGATCACGGTTTATCCGAACCTTGCTTGAAGTATCTTTTGGAATTTTCTCAGAGAGATACTTCATGGTTCCCCAAAGCGGCGGATTTCTACAGACACCAAGAATGACAATTAGGAAGTAGTTCCAAATAAATCAAATTGTTATACTACTCCACATACCAAAGAAAATATAAAAGAAAAAAATTCAATTGATATAAAAATCATTGTTTTGCAAATAGAACGAGATCTAAGCTTTGTATAAACCAAAATGGTCACGAGAAAAATCTTCAATATAGAAAGCACTGTAACAAGAATAGGGAGAACCAGCTTCAAATGTATGTATACATGCAAACATGTTGTACAAAAACATGGTACCAGTTAAATAGTTTCATAAGATTAAAATGGATAATGAAAGCCACATGACTGCTTGCTGTTACAGACAAGTCAAATCGTAAATCAAGTATTAGGTTCAAGAAAGTTCTTAAGACAAGTCTGGATCTTCCAGATTTTATAATTTCTAGAGAAGGAAATAGAAGCACAAGTCAAATCGTAAATCAAGTATTAGGTTCAAGAAACCCACTATATGATGATTATTTATAGTTCAATAAAACAACTGACTTGGTGACAGGCACAGTTGTTCTTGCGACAGTTCTAATCAGGATTAAGAGTTGGTTTGCTTATTTGCATCAAATGTATGATATGATATCCAACGTGATACATAGAAGTATCACATGTAAGCACACCAAGCATAACAGATGAGGCCGTTAAAATATACAAGTGCCATAACCTAATGATTAAGGTGGTTTGGCAAAACATATCTACACTATATAAGGCTGCTACTGCTTATCCACAAAAGGAGACAAATATCGTGGAAACAGTGCTACCATTAAAATTATAGATAACAGTCAATTTGCTCAAAAGATAAATGATCCATTACAACAACAGACATCCAAAAAAAAAAAAAAAAAAGTATAGTGGTTCTATAGAATACCTCGACAAAGGAGGAGCTGCATTAAATGCTTCACCAGCCTTTTTACTCTCTTTGAAATACTCATCTGCAGCTTGCAAAGCAGCTACAGCCATACCATGAAATTTCTCCGTGTTCCCCTCATCAAGGATCAAACCATGATAGTAATATGCTGCAGCCTATACAGTAGGAAATAAGAGAGAAGAAAAGAAGCACAATGCAAAAACATTAATCACTTAGCTAGAAAGTGCAAAGACAAGTGCAAATTTATTAAGAACATCCGACCAGATGTTAGAAGCAGACGAAATCAAGTTGGGCCATAAAGAATGACAGCAAGATAAGTGGCCAAAGTCAAATCAAATCCACCAAAGATAATTAGTTATATGCAATATATAGTCAAACTGTGGCCCTTTAACTACTTTAAACATTATTTTCAGACCTAGACAAGATATTTAGCTTCCAATACTCATTCCCCTTATACTTTCTAGCTATTGGATGAATATGCCAGACTTTTGCAAGCATACAACATGCCAGTGAAAAAACATTAGTGATTCAAAGGATATAAAACTAAAGACATAGACAGGAAATTTTTCACAATAAAAAGTTATTCCAAATTCCTCTGCACTTTGCCACTGACAATGTTAACTCAATCGCGGATCCAAAAGGGGGGAAAAAAAGAAAAGAGAATATTCCTGATGTAGCCAATGAAATCTCAGCCTAATAGCACCACAGAGAGTGGGGTCTGATTTGATTTCCAAAAATGGTCAGGAAAAGTAAGTGCTGATCTATAACCAATCAAATTTCAAATAAGGAGACAAAATAATAAAGAATCAGATGTATGCAATAATCATCCATATGACATTGATTACATGTCTATACAGGAGGCCTTTAACATATCTTGGAGCATTCTGAAAGAACATTACCTTCTAACACAAACACACATCATAAATATAGACCATCCAGAACATATATGCTTGCCACTGATTTAAACAAAATCAAAATTGACCATATCACCACTTCAGAAAGAGAAGAAAAGAACCATCTCATGACCACTAACAGCCCACCACTATGATCCAAAAAGATCTAACGAAATCATGAGTTCATCCACAGATTGATTTCCTTGTTACATGAGATCTCAAACTCTCCAAATTTTCTTCCAACACCCCTCATACTTAATTTCTAGAACCATAGAAACTAACCAGGAAAATACTAGATGCATTTGGAAATTTCCTCACTTCATACACGTTTGAATGGTAATCATTTCTTATAACAGGTTCTGGATATCAGTATTAAATAACCATATTTTACTCCACTACAATATGACCTAGAATATCAAGTACAAACACCCAATTTGATACCATATTATCACTAATGATTAAAAACAAACTCCCAATAAAACACTAGGAAGATAGAATGTACAGTTTATCCAAGAACAATATTGCCTAATACTTAGTACTTTACACTCCTAGCAACATCCAAACTTGGACTGTCCATTTAGAGATCCAGATGATAAACAATCAAATCCATTGGATCCAAACCCATGAACACGCATACCCAGATTAGCTAGAAGTTATAAGTAATAACAGTAATCAAGTATAAACAATTAATTACAATAAAAAATAAAAAATAAATAAAGTTAGGAGATAAGATGACAACAATAAGTGAGCAGTGAGAATTATAGCAAAACAGAAAAGGTAAGTGCGGGAAAGGAGTCATGAGATACCTTTGCTTCAACATATTTCCACTTTATAAAGAGCCGATGTTTTTCCCCCCAGCCATTTGTTAATGGAAGATTCATGATGTTGTCTTGAGCCTGTGAAGCAAATGCATAAAAAAGTAACACATTTTAGATTCCTCAGTTGGATAATAGTTAAACAAATGGATAACTATTAAAGTACAACAAATTTATTACAATATCCCAGAATTCAGGAAACATTCTTCGTTGATATGAGCTAAGAAAAATGATTAAAGGTAATGCATTTACCTGCTGCCAGTACTTTACCATCTCACATGCAAGTCTTCGCTTAACAGCCAAAGTGGCTTTTGTACTATCAATGGCCATTCCAAGTTGGATATCATTACACTACATTAAAAAACACAAAGAGTGGGAAACAAAGTGAGAGAAAAAACAGATAAAAGCGTGGAGATATAAGGTCTGTTTAAATTTAAACTCATCAAATTTTGGGCAAGTAAGAAAGGTGCACACACATCATCTCGTATCTCAGCTTTGAGAGTTCTGTTCCTCCTTACATTGATTTTTATTTTCCTGACTGTTTCAGTTGTTTACATATTACCTTGTACAACTAAATTATAATTTTCATTGAGAGATTGTAAATATACCATTGATTACATGAGTCTAAGTGACTACTACTAAAGTTTATTGGAGGAAAAAATCATAATGCAAACTAGAAATGATATATTACAGAAAAGACCATTACTACAACGGCTTCAACACTAGTTATCACAGATAATTTTGGAAAAGGTAATTAACATAAGACCATATACTGGGAGGTGGCACTTCAGTAGACTCACATGTACGCTAAATAGTAGGGAGAGTTATATAGTCATGCAGCTCTTTAATCTGTTAACGGATAGGCGGGAAGGAATGAAAGTGATAAGGGAATAGACTTAATCCTTTCTTTCACATTTGCTTGAATTTAAAAAAAAAAAAAAAAAAAAAAAAAAAAAGTAAGAAGGGAAAAGACTTCATCCTTTCTTTCACCCATTTGGTAGAAGAGGACGAAATATCAAGATAGCGGACAAGACAGAGTGAGAGAGAATGAATAGAAAGAACAAGGGTTTGTCACTATCCACTCTTTAGCATATCTATACCATTATAAGAAGAAGAATATGTGTAGAGGAACAGTTCATGAACTAAATCCATACAAAGAGCGGCAAGTACCTGCCCTAATGCTTGCAGGCAAAGTGCTCGGAGAACTCCTTCTGCAAGGTCTACTGGTAAGTCCCTCCTGCAACCAAAAGCAGAGGTCAATAAAGAAAAAAGACCCCACAGTTCGTGAAGAATTTACAACACTTGAAGTTGCTCTTTGTGCAAGTCTTTATCTTTGTAAACCTGAGTTCAGAAGATAACTGTGGCAGAACATGTCGGACAGCGCAATCTAGGTATCCTGCTGCCTTCAAGAAAATGTCAATTGAAGCTCGCCTGCTTTCTATCACACAAGAAAGAAAATGACACCTTTTCAGTAGGAATAGACAAATTAAATTTCCTTATGTGGCACACAAATGATAAGGAATGAATACATAAAAGCAACATAAAAATTTTGAAACTACCACATCTCGCTCGATATATCCCCAAGCAATTATCTTAGCAGGAAAATGGATGATATTAACAACTGTTTAGAATCTTGTTATCAGATAAAACAGAAAAGCCTTTCAGATTGCAGGCTGGAAATAAAAAAATTATAACCCTATTATGAACTCAATTGAATTAAAAAATGTTTGAGAACAGATCCTGCAATTAAACCATTAAAGTACACAGCAGAGAGCAGTCACCAGGTTAAGTATAGTGTTTCATACAACACTCTTAAATCTCAGTAACAGAACATATCAAGTGTAGTTAACAAGTATGAGATTAGTACATGGAAACAGACAAAATCCTGATTAACCTAACCAATAGACTTTTAAGCAAATAGTCCCAAAACCCATCTGAGGTAAATGACCAAACAATGAAAAGAATAAAACCAATTTCCATTTCCCGTATAATTATTAGTAATAGCAGAATCTAATCCTCCAGCCCTAGTATCCAGTATGAATGTAAAAGCTTTTAATATACTGGCTAGCTTCTCTTATGTTAGAGCTAGAATAGACAGATTTTTGACAATTTACCTGGACATACGCTGTTGTTTTGTCACAAGAAGTTCATATTAATTCAAAATTCGTTAAGATAAGATCAAATAAATTGCAAAATGAACAATTGAGGTTAGACATATATACATGTCCAGCACATTAGGTACATTATTGGTATCCTTCAATTAGGAGAATACTTTAACTTCATGTCCTCAAGTAAACATTTCAAAGCTTTTGTAATTACATCAAAATAATGATGATGAAAAAGGAGAGAGAGATGGAACATCACCAGCATAAAAATTTGCAATCAGCACTTACCTTCAGATACTTTTGGCTGATAACCATCAGCAGATGTTCTTGGAAGAAGCAATAAGTTGGCCTGTGATAATGATAACGTTGCCATCAAGTGCAAGACTGACAACACTTCATACCAAGTATTAGAAATGGCTGTTTCCTGCAAAAAAGTGATTCATATCAATCCAGCATTTTGACAAGCAGAGGAATGGAATCCCAAATCAAGACAAAATAAACATAGACAAAAACATGTAACTCAATAAACTAGAATCATACTCCCACCTCTGCTTCATCCTCCTGGTTTATCCAAACAAACTGTACTTTGTGTTGTAGATGGTTTCCTGCACAATACAAACAATCAACAACATTAGAATTTACCCTACACAATCAGGCAGTTCAAACAGTCTTCCAAACATCACAACAAATGCATTCATTACCATCTTTTACTAATCCCATAAGTACAGGCAAGTAATCTTCGAGAGCCTGATGAAGATCAGCCAATGTTGAACCTCCTGCAAATAACAATTCAGGTTAATACATCAACTAGTGCCAATGAACTCTTAATAAATATCATTCTTTCCTACTTCGGAGAAACAAACCATGTTGTGTAGCACTTTTTCTTCTTGTTCTTGAAACTGTTGGTCCTTCTTGGGCTGCCATGACAACTATACGTGTTCTTAGAGCAGATAAACGCTCCACCAAATTCTTCGACAAGTTATCACCAAGTGATTGAGAGAAATCAACAGGTATAGGAATTCGTAAACCAGGTACATAAACAGAAACATCTCCAATATTTCCTGGTCTCCTTCTATTTCCAACCGTATCCTTGGACGTTGACAAAAAGCATCCCATATCCTCAAACTTATTGTATCTACCAATTTAAGGAAACCAAAAATCAAATTAAATTTTCGAAGTACTCAATGCCTCTCATACAGAGGGCAACAACTATAAATATGAACTGGGAAAAGTACAATATAAGAAAATGAAGTTCAAAGAATATAGACAAAAATCACAAGTGGACAAGTAGCAGCAGAGACAATTAATGTTCAACTAACAAACAGCTGAACCAGTTGGTTACTCACGAGTAGCATCCAAATCACACTCACTGGAACTCTCCAAAAGTTCTCGAAAATGAGAACTTTTCCATCTAACGATTTTCAAAAATAAATTAAAATATTTTTTCTTCTCTTTTCTACCTTCAATGAGCGGTCCATTTTTCATAAATATATTTGACAAAATGCACAAAAAAATTTAAGTTCTCTCACCTAGTGCTCTTATCAGAAGCTTGAGTGATGGGTCAAAAGTTGAAGTAGTTTCTGCACCAGAACAAAAGACAAGTTAAAGGCAATGCATCACAAGTAAAGCATGAAAATTTACTTCCTTTTAAAAGAGGAAAAAAAAATTAAATAAATAAATATTAAAACTTGTATCATATGCTTTACAATTACAAATGAAATTTCAAAAGAAAAATGTGAAGGAAAAGATTTCGAATTCAACCCAGCTAAAAATAAAAATAAAATAAAATAAAAAAGGGTAGGTGACAAATAGATCAAAGCTAGGCATGAGTCTGATAATATAAGTTCACAAAAATTGAAATGAAATAATAGCAGGAAAAAAGTCCAAAATTGATTAATTTTACGAGTAAAGAATATCCAAGTGAGTTCAAACAAGCAACACACAAAGCAAAGCGATTGCTTCGTCTGTTAGTTTATTATTCTGAGAATTGCGTATCTATGAATTAAACGACCAAAATAAACCAAAAGAAAAACACTCCTCAGACTTGCTGAGAAAACGCAAGAAACAGAAAACCCAGAAGAGCAAATTCACGCAAAAAGCAACAAAAACCCAGTTGTTCAGAGAAGAATTTGATCATAAAAAACCAGAATTAACATCATTTGAAGAGATTGAAACGGAGATGAAATGGGAATGATGAAAATTGAAATTGAATAAAATCTTACCATGAATTGAAAAGGGTGTTGGGTGTGAAGAGAGTATAAGAAAAACTGAAACTTTGTATATCAAATGAAATTCAAACCCTAAGAAATGCGGAGAGTAAACTAACTGAAAGAGGGAGAAATTGAGGGTTGGGTAATTGGATGATTGAAACTTGAGAGAGAGAGAGACAAAGAGAGAATTGAATTGGATTGGAATGGAATGGAATGGAATAAAATAAAATAAAAAAATGCTAGAAACACAAGAGAATATGCTAATGAAAACTGATGATAATTGCAACCATTTATATTAAGTACGTAATTTTCGCTTTGCTATCTTACTAGCACCTAACTCCCTTAACTCTCTCTTACCCCTTCTTAAACCTTTAGGTTTTGATAAGTATCACAAACTCCCCTTATTGAGATAAGTTTAATGGGAAAAATGTTGCCACGTCATTTTAAAACAAGAACGTGGATTGTCTTACCACATTCACCTATTTGACATGATGAGACCGTCTAATAGTATAATGACATATAGAGTATAGTTTTTATAACCATCTATCATAATGGTAGTTATTGATGAATGATAGACAGTAATTATTGATCAATTATAATAATAGACAGATAAAAGTTAAAATTATATATATATATATATATATGAGATAACATGCCACTATATTATCTAACAGTCTCACCATGTCAATCAAATAATGTGGTAAAGACTGTCCCATGTAGGTATATTAAAAAATTAATTTGGTTTGGTTTAGATTTTCTGGTTGGGTTAAAAGGTTTTGTAGATGCAGGTTAATATTTTAAAAAGTATGAGTTTTAATAAAATTTAGTGATCTTGTAGCGTGTACAATATAACTAACCTAAAGTTCTATAAAGTGCGCCTAAGTTCACCACCTAGTTGTGGACACTATACAATGTATTAATATCCTATGCTTTAATTGAAGAATATAATTGAAGCATTCAATTATGATATTGTATTAACATCATAGAATCACCTAGTACTATATTTATATTAATGTAAGGTTATATAGTCCAATTATGCATAATCTCTATTAATGTATGCCTCAATCGTTAATAATATAGTTAATTAATGTCACCCATCAAAATTCTTTTCTATCAAATCCATGATATAGTTTCAAAAAAAAAAAAAAAAAAAAAATCGATGATATAATATTTCATGGTAAGAATGTTTTAGTTTAAAATACTATTAAGTAGAAGGTATTTTAGGTTTAGAGAGATTAGACCCACAGGTTTTTATAATAGAGCACTTATACCCTTATAATTGACAAGCACTTTTTAAAAAGTTAATCTGGACACAGAATCTTGGTACAATAACTAATATACCATTATTTTATCTTTTCCGCTACAACAAAAAGAAACTAATACCTGAAATTTGTCATATAATTAAGTTATTAAATAATTTAAAAATATTAAACTTTGACAATTCAATAAGGGGGTGTTTGTCTGAGCTTATAAAAATTAGCTTATAAGCAACAATTACTTATAAGCTAAAATTAACTTATAAGCATTTGAAATTTTAAACAATTACGTGTTTGGTTAAAGTATTTATAAGTGACTGATAAGTAATTAACGTGTTTGGTAAAATATGGTTTATAAGTATATTTTATTATAAAATTACTAAAAAATGTATTACATTAAACAAGGGCACACTATGAAATTTTAAAATTAAATAAGGATAATGTGATAATATACTTGGTCAAACTAGCTTATAAGTAAAGTGCTTATAAGCCAAAAAAAAAAAGTATCTCCTCCCCAACTTATTTTTTTTTAGCTTATAAGCTCAAAAAAAATATAAACAAACAGGTCAGCTTAATTTTAGAACTTATAAGTAAGTTTGATCAGCTTATAAGTTTAGACAAACACCCTCTAAAACATTTGAGAAATAAAAAATTGTTTTTTTTTAGTATTGTATGTTTTACTCTTATTATAGTTATTTTTCACAAATATCATTCAACTACAAGGGTGCAAGCGTTTCATTCTAAAACCTATGGATCTCTCGGTATCTCACTAAACATCAAGGGTGTCTATAAAGCCTCTATTAATTAGTATTTGAGAATAATTCCATAATTAGTATTTCAACATGTGCTCTTAAGGTACACTTTAACTACCCTTAAAGATTAAAAATAAATTAAAAATTATATTTTTTTAAATCTTTTTTTGTATATATAATAAATAAATATTTTATCTTCTTGCATAATTAACATATGTCTTAACGAAACACACTTTATTACAACCCATTCAAAAAATAGGGAACACTTGAAAGTGGGAGAGATTTGTCAAACGCGGCGCCTTAAAACACACGTGAAATGATTTGAATTGAGACTTGTTGCCAGTGTTTCCAGTTGTGTTCTTGGCTTCTCGCCAAACCACTTGTGTTTTTGTTCTTCTTTAAAAAATGCCAAAAATATTAAATTTAAAAAACAACCCAAATTTTTTTTTTTTTTTTATTTTTTATCTTCCACTAATATTGGCCCCACATTCTTTTTTTATAAAAATGAAAAATTAATTAATCTAGTTTCAAACACTTTTACTGTATTATTATTTGTTTTATTCGGAAATTATAACATTATTAATGAAGCCACTCGAAGCTTTGACATTTTTCTAACACTATCGATTTTTTTAATTCTAGAGACTACTAAAATGCAAACATGATCTCAATTGTCTTATTATGCATAATGTATATTCCTTCAAATTATTAAATTAGAAAATATATTTTACACCCCTTAAGAATAATTAATTTAAATACCCACCTTGTTTATTTTGAGATTTATTATGATTTCTTTCTAGACTTGTGTAAAAACTTTTTAATATTTATTGATATTGTGATTTGAAGTATGTAAGATGCGTGGTGGAATCTACATAGGAATTTGTATAAAACTTGTAGTCTCGATGTTGAATTGATGAATGAATGAAAAATTGAATAATAGCACAAGGAAACGATTTTTAAAGTGGTTTTGATGCTTAATGTAAATCTCACATCCACTTTTATTATGTATTGTTTTCTTTGTGCACTGGTACGATTTACAAAGTATTAATAAAAAATCAAACCCCTTAATCTGAATGAAAAGTAAGTTTATATATTGTTACAACGATAAAGTTGTAAATAAAGTTAACTTAAAAAAATGATATGTGGTGTGACTTCGTACTTCAAGAATTCCCCGCACAACAATATTTATGAAAAACATCTTAGGGTGTGTTTGGTTTATTATTTTGGGTAGGATTTTAGAGATAGTATTGGATAGTTGGATAAGGGAGTATTACGGGATAAAATTTAAAAATTTATGAAAAAGCCCCAACATTTGCTAATTTAATAAACACCTCAATATATTAAAATATTGTAAAATGACAAAAACACCCCTACCACCAGCAATGCCAGATTCCGGCCACCACCACCGGAATCTGGCCGGAAAATTGGATAACCACTCATACATGTCGGATCTGCCGAGTATTCGATCGATATGGCCTTTTCCGGCCATATCCACCACGGATCTGGCCGAAAAAGGCCAGATCTAGCCATTACCGTCCACTTACGGTGGTCGTGTGACTGTTCTGACAGATTCCGGCTGGGTGAGGGTATTTTTGTTAGTTTTTAAACTTTTTTGGAGGGTATTATGAAATTAATAAACTTATAGGGTCTTAAAATAATTTAAAAAATAGACTAATATTTTAGAAAAAACATGTCAAACAACATTTGAAGAATAAGATTAGGGATATGAATAAAAACAATAAGCCAAACGCATCCTTAATTATCATAAATTAAGTGGTTCTATTGACAATTAGACAGAAATTAAGATGGAAATATGAAAAAATTTCAGATTAAAGATTAGAAGAATAATATTTTTTAATAAATTTAAATTTATTTCACAATTATTTAATAAATAAAATAAAATTTTGAAAGGATTGTTAAGAAAAGGAACGTTGCCATTTAGGTTATGTAATTGTGAAGTAGAAGATAGGTACAGAGAGAACAGCAAGATGACAAAAGACACGCGTCAGATAGTTACGGATGTAGGCTAGTGATTGTCTGTCTGATGGTGGCGGCAAGAAGCAAATGAATCCAACAAGCATCACGGTAGACGAAGCGACACGTGTCTGACAGACGTAGTGCCTTGACGTATAAGGAAGACGATCAAAGGAATGTAGCAATTTGTTGCTTTGGAATGTTCGCAATTCTCACCTTTTATTAGTCGGAGTGTATTCCCTCCACCATTTACCAATATAAATTCATAATTAATGTTAGAGTAGTGATATTTGTGCCAATTGTTCTGGATCAAAAACTTTTTTGAAAAGGTAAATTTACAAATTTATCCTTTAATAAAATAAAATTATTTTTGGCCCATAAACCTTGCTTTTTGGAGAGAAAACAATTTAAGGATGAGAGATAAATAATTATTATTTCAATATTTCCAAAAATAAAAGTTGGAAAGTAGAAATTAATTTATAATAATAATTTATTTATTGGAAAGTTGGAAAGTATGAATTAATTTATCGTAATAATTAAATTGCTTTAAAAAAACAAAAAAAACAAAACAAAACATGTAAAAGGTACCCGTTTGCAAGTGTAATCTCTTTTGTAAGTATAAGCTTTTTTCTTGTATCATACGGACCTTTATCATCCAAAGTTGAAGTGTAATCTTTATTGCAAGTGTAAGAATCCTTTGCAACACATTTTCATACAAATGTACAAAGTGTGTTGAGTTAGCTTGAATGTTTAGCCAAGTACAGTAGTTTAGTTATTGATTAAAGTATTTATTTGAGAAGCATTGTTTTGTCAATTATAATTAAATTTATAATTGTTGGCATGAGTCAAATTTAACATTAATTTTTGTTTTATCCATATCACCCTTTTAAGTTCGAAGTCAGGACACTAAAAGCATATAATATTTCATTTTAAATTATAAGTACTAGGAATTGAAATGACTGTTAGATTAAAGTAAAAAAAAAAAATTGATTCTATACATTAACTTTTGAATTTACTGTATAAACTTGACCGCATTAAGTTAGTGAAATCATATAATATATTGTTTTAAATTTCAAGTCCGAGCAA